CTCCGCCTCCTGGGTTCAGGCAATTCTCCTGCCTCAGCCTCCTGAGTAGCTGGGATTACAGGCACGCGCCACCATGCCCAGCTAATTTTTGTATTTTTAGTAGAGACGGGGTTTCACCATGTTGACCAGGATGGTCTCGATCTCTTGACCTCGTGATCCACCCGCCTTGGCCTCCCAAAGTGCTGGGATTACAGGCGTGAGCCACCGCGCCCGGCCTATTATTCTTTTTGAGACAGAGTCTCCCTCTGTCACCCAGGCTGGAGTTGCAGTGGCATGATCTCAGTTCACTGCAACCTCCACCACTCAGGTCCAAGTGATTCTCCTATCTCAGCCTCCAAGAAGCTGGGATTAAAGGCACCTGCCACCATGCCTGGCTAATTGTATTTTTAGTAGAGATGGTGGTTTTGCCATGTTGGCCAGGCTGGTCTCGAACTCCTGATCTCATGTGGTCCACCACCTCCGCCAACCAAAGTGCTGGGATTACGGGCATGAGCCACCGCACCCAGCCGATACTACTACTCTCCCCATTTTACAGATGAGCATATGGGGAAATTGAGGGTAAGGCACTGACCCGCTATCAGACAGCCGAGAAGTGGCAGAGGCAGGATTTGAACCCAGAACCGCTGGCTCCAGACATTACTAATCTAAACCACTCTTCCTACAATACACCATACATGGTAAAGATGTGCGGTGGGCATGCAGTCAATGTAAGTCCCTTCACAGTTGCTGGGAGAGGCAGATACTTGAGGTTCCTCCCCGCATCCGCCTCTTCCGTTGCCCAGCTGTCCTGGGTCACTCCTGCAGCCCTGCCCTGCCTGGTCTCACCCTCCCTCTGCCAACAAAAGTCTGGGCAGGGCTTTATGGGCTCCGATAAGGCTCTGATGGGGTGAAGTTCATCAGCACTTCCTGTTTGCAGGGGGGCCTAGGGGAGGGGACCCAGGTGATTTGGGTCCTGGCTGGTCACCAGGGAAGCCGGCGAGGAAAGAGACAAGGGTGCACTCTAGGAGAAGCCAAGGGCCTGAGAGTCCCAGAAGAGGGGCCCTGTGGATCCTCCCCCACCAGCCACGCCCTTACCCTGGGTATAAGAGCCACCCACCACCTGCCATCTGCCACCATCTCCCACTCCTGCAGCTCTTCTCACAGGACGAGCCACCAGCCCAGCCTCGAGTGATGGCCTTTGTCCCTGCACCGGGCTACCAGCCCACCTACAACCCGGTGAGACGCTGGCTCAGACCCCCGCCCCACCCGCAGCTCCATCCATACCCCCCCCACGCCGATTTTCCCCACCCTGCTCCTGACGGGCCCCATCTGACTCTGGGGTCTCATTTACCCAACGCTGACCCTGATCCTTCATTTACTCCCACCCTGACCTCAGGCTGTCTGTGTCCAGGTCTAACTGTTTGCCTCATCATTTTCAACCTGGTCCCCGCCTGTGGTTTCCTCTCCCCTACTTAAGGGACTGGGGGCTTTTCCGGGAGGGGTGAAGGCTGCAACAGGGAGATGGCTTGTGAGTCCCCTCACCAGGTCTCTTCTCCAGACGCTGCCCTACTGCAAGCCCATCCCAGGTGGGCTCAGCGTGGGAATGTCTGTTTACATCCAAGGAGTGGCCAGCGACCACATGAAGCGGTAAGACCCTCCCCGAGCCAGGCCCGGCTAGTAGGGGACTTCCAACAGGGTGCTCTGGGCCTGGCTGTTGGGGGCCTTCTGCCCTTACCTCACCCTGGTGGGGAGGGGACTCTTTGCTGCTCCACCCAGTAGCCAGAGACCAGCCTGGGGCAGATCAAGAGTGAGGACGTGGGGGCCAGAAGGGTCAGGGAGGGCTCACCGTGAGAGGCAGCCCCTGAGTTGGACATTGGACTGAAACTGATGGGTGTGGTGGCAGGAATTCTGATCACAGGCTCAGAGCCAGGTCCCAGAGTTCAAATCCCAGCTCTGCCACTCCCCAGCTCTGTGTTGGTGAAAGTGACTGTACCACTCTGTGCTTCATTTTCTTTCTTTCTTTCTTTTTCTTTTTTTTTTTGACATGGAGTTTCACTCTTGTGGCCCAGGCTGGAGTGCAATGGTGCAATCTTGGCTTACTGCAACCTACACCTCCCGGGTTCAAGCGATTCTCCTGCCTCAGCCTCCCGAGCTGGGTTTGCAAGCACAAGCCACCACACCCGGCTAATTTTTGTATTTTTAGTAGAGACGGGTTTCACCATGTTGGCCAGGCTGGTCTCCAACTGCTGACCCCAAGTGATCTGCCCATCTCAGCCTCTCAAAGTGCTGGGATTACAGGCGTGACGTCTGACCCGGTGTTAGCTTTTTTTTCTTTTTGAGACAGAGTTTTGCTCTTGTTGCCCAAGCTGGAGTGCAATGGTGCGAACTCAGCTCACCGCAACCTCCACCTCCAGGGTTCAAGTGATTCTTCTGCCTCAGCATCCCAAGTAGCTGGGATTACAGGCGTGCACTATCATGCTCAGCTAATTTTGTATTTTTAGTAGAGACAGGTTTTCTCCGTGTTGGTCAGGCTGGTCTCGAACTCCCGATCTCAGGTGATCTGCCCACCTCAACCTCCCAGAGTGCTGGGATTACAGGTGTGAGTCACCTCGCCCAGCCTGAGTCTTAGCTTTTTTAAAGGGCCTTAACAGGGTAATAATAATTGGCCTCATGGGATTTTTTCTTTTCCTTAGAGAAAAAAAAAATCTTGCTCCATTGCCCCAGGCTGGAATGCAATGGCACAGTATCATAGCTCACTTCAGCCTCCGACTCCTGGGCTCAAGTGATCCTCTCCCCCCATCTTCCCAAGCAGATGGGACTACAGGCATGCTCCACCATGCCCAGCTAATTTATTTTTTAATTATTATTATTATTTGTTTTATAGAGACAAAGTCTTGTTATGTTGCCCAAGCTGGTCTTGAACTCCTGGGCTCAAGCGATCCTCTAGCCTCGGCCTCCTAAAGGGCTGGGAGGATCAGGTACTGGTGTGAGCCACTCTGCCCTGCCTGTTATTTATGTACTGTTTACTTCTTCACTGAGTGCCCACTTTGTGTCCTGGCACTAGGGATGGAGGAGTGAACAGGACAGAGATCCCTGCCCGCGTGGAGCTGACGTCCTAGTAGGGGAAACAGATAAAAAATAAGTCCGGGCAGGCCGGGCGCGGTGGCTCAAGCCTGTAATCCCAGCACTTTGGGAGGCCGAGGCGGGTGGATCACAAGGTCAAGAGATCGAGACCATTCTGGTCAACATGGTGAAACCCCGTCTGTACTGAAAATACAAAAAATTAGCTGGACATGGTGGTGCATGCCTGTAATCCCAGCTACTCAGGAGGTTGAGGCAGGAGAATTGCCTGAACCCAGGAGGAGGAGGATGCGGTGAGCCGAGACTGCGCCATTGCACTCCAGCCTGGGTAACATGAGTGAAACTCTGTCTCAAAAAAAAATAAAAAAAAAAAAGTCCGGGCTGGGTGCGGTGGCTCTCGCCTGTAATCCCAGCACTTTGGGAGGCTGAGGCAGGTGGATCACGAGGTCAGGAGTTTGAGGCCAGCCTGGCCAGCATGGCAAAACCCCGTCTCTATTAAAAATACAATAATTAGCTGGATATGGTGGTACATGTCTGTAATCTCAGCTACTCAGGAAGCTGAGGCAGGAGAATCACTAGAATCTGGGAGGTAGAGGTTGCAGTGAGCTGATATTGCGCCATTGTACTCCAGCCTGGGCCACAGCATAGACTCCATCTCAAAAAAAAAAAAAAAGGAGAGGCTGTGAGTGAAGGTGTGGTCGTGGGAATCTGCACCCCCAGAACTTAGGCCCCCTCCACGCTGTGGGCCACAGTGCCAAGGTTGCCCCCCAGAGCTGGTGCTGTGGTCTGAGCCAGGGAGCCCTGGGACAGGGCAGGTGGGAGAGGGCTTTCTGGAGGAGGCCCCCGGCACCGGGAGGTGGCACCAGGGGAACCAGCCCTTCATGTCCCGCCAGGTTCTCCGTGAACTTCCTGGTGGGGCAGGACCCAGGCTCAGACATCGCTTTCCACTTCAACCCGAGGTTTGATGGCTTGGACAAGGTGGTTTTCAACACGATGCAGGGCGGGAAGTGGGGCAGCGAGGAGAAGAAGAGGAGCATGCCCTTCAAAAAAGGTGCTGCCTTCGAGCTGGTCATCATGGTCCTGGCCGAGCACTACAAGGTCTGCGTGCTTTCCCTCTTGTTTCCTGTGCTGGAGTGCAGCGGTGCCATCTCAGCTCTCTCCCTCCTTCCCTCTCTCCCTCCCTCCTTCCCTCTCTCCCTCCCTCTTTCCCTCTTTGTCTCCCTCCTTCCCTCCTTCTCTCCCTCCCTCCTTCCCTC